TGGGTGCTTTTTTTTAATAGTATTGTCTGTAATCGGTCAAGACCTGGAGCTTTGTTTTTCGTGAGTTTAATGGCTAACGTAACGTGATTTGGATATTCACTTTGTTTTTATGTACTGGAAACCTAGTTGTGTAGAGCATGTAGTTTGTTTGGACGTTATGGTTGACTTTATGAAAAAGTATTAGTTAATTTTTGGATTTTGTGTGTTTGCACAGTGCTAATCGACGGCTGTTTGCACAACCCGCCATAGTTTTGAAGTGATAGACTTGAGGGAAGTCAACACCACCCATACTAACTCTAGTATTGACCTACTCTATCCTAGCGAATAGTGGTATTTACCATCACATTATAACGCTCCCACGGCTGAAAGGGCAAACATATTTGGGGACGGAATTCGAATCCGCTATCCTCAGACTTGAGTTGAGTGCCCCAACCATTAGGCCATGCCAGGCCCAGCAGTTTCTGTATGAACGACACTAAGATTTTTTTTTTATATTATAAGTTTTAAATCTTTGGTATTTGTAGTATGTCTGTATATAGAGCTCTGTCCAGAACGATTGCAGATTAAATATCGGGACAGATTGCGACCTTACGTCAAAAGCATACACAAGTTTGTAAGAAATTTGAATAACTGTTTTATACTTTATAAAAAGAAATGATTCGTAATTAAATGTCTCCACCCAGTGGCTCAGCAGAAAATCTGCAGACTTATAACGCAAAAAGTGGGTTTCAATACTCGTGGTAGGCAGAACACAGATAAACCATTTTGTAGTTTTGTGTTTAACAAGAAACAAAAACAAATTTACCCAATTAAGTAAATAAAGTGATATATATGATATATTTTTAAAGCTTCAGTTGTAACTGAGAATTTTCATATTGCGTAATTATGTCTTTCCACAAAAGTACAATTTAATTCCGCAAAATGTCTTTGCGCTAATGAAATTGTTATCAAATGTTTGCTTACAGTTGCTAAATTTGGTTTAGAGTTTTATATGTGTTACACTTCAAATTTCAAAGAACTATTTTAATCAGTTTTTTTTTTATTGTGTACATACCGCGGGTATTTAAACCCGATTTTTGGCTTACCGTTGAACCATGGGGGGGGGGGGGGAAGAAAGATCGAAGAAGTTGTGATGTATTTTACTGATTCATTTGATCGGTAGGTAGGTGTTGTATTGTTTGTCATGTCGTTTAGAAGCTTTACTTTGTAATTCCAGTGTTAAAGTTATGTCTCGTCCATGGAGTCTCTCTTCACTTATGGACACCCCCAATGGCTTAACGCTAAGCCTGTAAGCGCTGAAAACCAGCTTTCGATACTCATGGTGGACATAGCACAGACAGCTTTTTTGTGCTTAACAACGACCAAGCAGCCAAACCAACCAAATGATGTTTGTATTCCCACAGTTACTGTGTATCAGTCACAACAATAACTTTATCAAATGGTGCTCCAACACTACTGTTTTAGTTACCTTTACCTGTGCTGTTTCTTTACACTCACAGGATACTTCAGAGGATTTATACCATTTCTCCGACATCAACCCAATAGAAACATTTTCACTTTAAATGGTCAGCAAGATGAATAGCTCATTGTTCACTATCCCACCTGTCCACTTTGGAAATTATTTCTAAATGAACTTGGTATCCCTCCCAAGTTAGCTTTTTAAAATATTCCACTGGTTTCTCAATTGGCTGGGGTTGAACTAACCGGCAAAACTCTGGAATTTGATTGGTGATGTTATGGCTGGAGCATTCCAGGCAGAACCTGCATTAAGAGATGGAATAGCAGCAGTTTTAACATGCGTAGACCCAACATGTTCTATTTCATATTTTTTAGTAAATTGTATTGTGGACAGATGCTGAAAGAGGTGTGGCTGGTTTAGTTTTTGCATTTACTAATTCATTTTCCAGACGTTTTTTTTTCTGTCAGTGATTTGTTTTTGTACTTCTGTTTTGTCATTATAACCTTTCTGTACTTCTTCAATTGTGTTGTTGTAATTTTCGTACATCTCTAATAAATAGTTTCATCAAGCTTGTCTTCAATCAGATTTATTTCTGTTTTTAATTATTTGTAGATATAACGTCTTTTTCTTTTAACTCCTCTCTTAAATTACCATCTCTTAGCTCTTGACCAATTTTATAGACATTTATCCTGGGTCTTTTATTTTTCTGTAAATTTCTTTTTGATCTTCTTTTACTTTTCTGTCTCTTCCAGACGTTTTAATTTACACAGGCCTCTACATCCTAAGGACCTCCGCCCATGAGTCCAAACAAAAATCACTATACTAAAAAACCTTATGAACACAGCTTCAAGGCTTTACTCAACTGTCTACATAGATGAAGAAATCAACTTTATAAAGCATTCCTTCATTCACACCAACTGTTGTCGAAATATATTCACACAACCATCAGTACAAAAACCTCAAATTCAACTCACAAACAAAATTGACACTAATACACCAAACAACAATAATTTAGTTTACCATTTATCCCTGAAGTGAGTTCAAAAATAACCAACACTTGGATAAAATTAGCCATTAAACATAAAATTCCTGTTGACTTCAAATTCACTTAAAAACCCGGCCGTAAATTAGTCATTGCTAAATAAAAATTATATATAATCACACAATACTAGTGTAATTTATAAAACAACGTGAAAAAACTACCCAGAAGTGTACATCGGAGAAACCATAAGAAACCGAACATAATAAGAAAAAAAAACCTCTCATTTTTACCACCATTGCAACAAAAAAAAAATACAGTATATCTGTACAAGACACTGTAATTTTAAGCAAAGAACCAAACATCAACAGACACAAAATAAAGGAAGCTAACTTAACTGAACAAAGCAGCCCTTATCTAAACCGACATCCAGGGATACCAAGATACCCTTACTAAGCTGCTAATCAGTCTCCGGTCATGTGACTTCTTTGTTTCATACTGTATGTAAATTCGCGTGTCTATGTAAATTACTGTACTTGTTGGTGACATAAGCTTTAAAACATTTAATTGCTTCATCATTTACATTAGTACTTCAATCTCATTTGCTGATCTGCTTGTCATTTTCAAGTCGACGTTTTATTTTATCGTAACTAAAATAATAGTGGACGTTCTATTTTGTCGTAACCAAAATAATTCCACAGCTGAAAACAGTGTTGTAACGTTTTTACTTATTAACTTTTTTGGGGGGTGGGGGGGGGGGGGGTGGGATATTACTTGGTGAAATAATGCGGAGTCCAGTCCACGTAAAAATAAATAATTAGTTTCTTTTCTTTATAACATTTCTTCAAGCTACCTTCACTTCTACACATACTGTTTGAGGCATACGTTTTCAAATAACGTTTCACTAATGCTACTGTGACTAACAGACTAATTAACTTAATTGTACAGTTCCACGGCTAATCTATCGACTACCTGAATATACACGTTAAGAAACACCGATAAACTTTTCTGACACCCAACTAACTTACTAAATACTCATTGGATAATTATCACTTCTCAATAAATACTTCACACAATTAACATTCATTACTCATTAACTTCTTCACTACTGATCAAATGTCTACTCTTATTAATATATTTGTTTCTAGATTATACATCCTCCATCAGCCGTTATTCATATCCTACAAGTATTATGTCCCGTTGTGATATTCTATTATACATACTCCATCAGCCGTTATTCATATCCTAGAAGTATTGTGTTGTGATATAATACAATACATGCTCCATCAGCCGTTATTCATATCCTGCAAGTATTATGTCTCGTTGTGATATAATATTATACATACTCCATCAGCCGTTATTCATATTCTACAAGTATTATGTCCCACTGTGATATAATATTATACATCCTCCATCAGTCGTTATTCATATCCTACAAGTATTATGTCCCGTTGTGATATGCTATTATACATACTCCATCAGCCGTTATTCATATCCTAGAAGTATTGTGTTGTGATATAATACAATACATGCTCCATCAGCCGTTATTCATATCCTGCAAGTATTATGTCTCGTTGTGATATAATATTATACATACTCCATCAGCCGTTATTCATATCCTACAAGTATTATGTCCCACTGTGATATAATATTATACATCCTCCATCAGCCGTTATTCATATCCTGCAAGTATTATGTCTCATTGTGATATAATATTATACATACTCCACCAGACACTGCTCTAATCTAGACTTATTTTATATTTAAAAGAACAAACAAAAATAAAATGTTTTAACTAAAACCTTGGGCGTTTTGAGCCATCTGGCTAGATAAGTTGTATGGTGTTGGGTGCAGGGATCCCTTAGCAGCATTTATACGAGTATGTTGAAATGGTATTATATAGTATTTTTTTCCTCCCACAACCGGTGGTTATTGAGTGCGTAAAAAGGTTCTGTTTGAAGTTGTGTGAATTTTTGTATGTGATGTAATGTTGCATGTATTAAATGTCCAGCCTTGCCAGTTAAGACTTGCTACACCATATTCTAAAATATTTTATTTTAATAATATTTTGTCGACTGAAGAAAATTTTTTATTTTTGTGCTCTAATTCTCTGCTGTTGTTTATTTTAATTTCTAATTAATGCTTCAACTAGCAACTTCTGTCCTGGTATTGTTATTATCTTCGACCGACGACGATGAGGGTACTTATTTTCACATCTCTATGTACGTGAACAGTAGAACTCGAATACTTTGCAACTGATTTTGATCAAATATGACACATAGATTTAGTGTCCTTTAGTTAGTCAATTTAGTACAATTTGGGATTTTCCAAAACGGTCAAACATAAGGAAAATAAAGGTGGAAAGAGAATTTCCTCACCAACACGTACATATTTGAGTGTGATGAATTTTCGTGTATATTTTATGTCGTTTGCGGGTTCTTCTGGTTTATTACATAAAATAAACAGTTCAAAGGCCAGTCCACGTAATGATAATAATCGTTTTTGTTTTTCATCTTCAAGTTCTAGATTTACGTAACTGTTTGCTTCTTTGTTTTTTTTTAGCGCAAAGCCACACAATGGACTGCCTGCAGACAGGTCTGTACATTGAGGAATAACACTGGATTTTAGCGTCGTAGGTCCGTTAACTTACCGCTGATCACAAGGTACTTTAAAATAACTAAAAATAAACTTAAGTTCATAGTTAAAAAACCTCTAAACAGAAACCTTACTTGCTAATTTCATATCTAACGTACTTTGAACTAATAGAAACTCATCATTCACAACTGAAACTAACCGGCTGATAGCAACAAAAACGTCCCCTAGTCGGACAGGGTAAGTATACTGTTTTACAACGCTAAAATCCAGGGTTCGATTCTCCGCGGTGGACACAGCTCAAAATGGCTTCGCTCTAAAAGAAAGAAAGGAACAAAAAGCAACAGAAAAACGTACTAAATTATGTCCTAAGTATTCGTTAATTGACTAACAGACTAATTCACTAACTCAGTAATATTTTCTAGTCTAACTTACGTTTCATACTGATGAAAGCAGTTTCTAAAGTTTTAAATGTTTTTAGTCATTAACTCACGCTCATCATTCTTCGTCAAACTTCCCTTTGACTAAACAACAATACATGGCCTACAACATTATAATTTATCTCACTGCTACAATGTCTCTGAAATGATAGTATTTACAACGTGCTTGAAAAGCGTAAATGATGTTGATGTAAATAATGAGCTGGATTAGATCTTAACCAATTTTAGGATACGACGTTTAAATAACTTAGTTACAGTGCACAGACATTTTAGTCTCTCTCTGTGCTAGAACTATTGTTATTATGAATGACGGATTCTGTTTTCTTTACCTAGCAATTCGGTCGACGAAAAAAAAAATGAATATCCAAGGGATTCTGGTGTCCTTCTGTGGCTTTCTCATTCAATTCACCACTGGTCACTTGTTAACATTCATCAACATGAACACATATATCACCTCGTATCTTCGTGAAAGAATAGATAAAAGTGTCCACTACAGTACATCTACCTGGATTAATGCTGCTACCATTCTTGGTCGAGGACTTTTTATGCCTGTAGGGGGACGACTTGGTGACCGACTGGGACCGCGGTGGGCGTGCCTTATAGGAAGTGTTCTGTTTAGGTAAGCTCAAAGTTCAACCTAAAATTTGTAAGCACATGGCCTACGTGTACTGTCTTATCTGTTCCCATTCGATGTAAAGTCAAGATCAATTTACCATTTATTGAAGTTAAAATCACTGGAGAGAAAGAGAACTCACATTAGTAATAGTGTTTACGTTAAACCTCAAATAATACATTGATAATTATAACTTAGCTTTATTGTATAATGTACTTGATAGAGGATCTGCTATTAGTGATAACGTTAAGCATCGTATAATTTATTGGTGGGGACTTTCCATTAGTAATAGCGTTAGTGTTGAATGTCATATCATATATGGGTGGGGACTTGTCATTAGTAATAGCGTTAGTGTTGAATGTCATATAATATATGAGTGGGGACTTGTCATTACTAATAGCGTTAGTGTTGAATGTCATAGTAATATATCAGTGGGGACTTGCTATTACTAATAGCGTTAGGGTTGAATGTCATATAATATATGAGTGGGGACTTGTCATTAATAATAGCGTTAATGTTGAATGTTATACATTGATGGGGACTTGCCATTACTAATAGCGTTAATGTTGAATGTTATACATTGATGGGGACTTGCCATTACCAATAGCGTTAGTGTTGAATGTCATATCATATATGGGTGGGGACTTGTCATTAATAATAGCGTTAGTGTTGAATGTCGTATAATATATGAGTGGGGACATGCTATTACTAATAGCGTTAGTGTTGAATGTCATATAATATACGAGTGGGGACTTGCCATTACTAATTGCGTTAGTGTTGAATATCATATGCCCAAAAAGACAGTATATCTGAGAAAAAAACAGTTTTATGTGGTTGAACAGATTTGTTTAAACACTTGTTTAACAACAAGTAAAAGCTTGGAATGGTCTATTCTTTCATTGGGGGGTATGTCTGTGGGCCAGACTAGTTTCGGAGAATTCCACTCCTCATCAGTGATTCTGGACACGACCACCGAATGATATGTTTCTTTTGTTGTGAGTGTAAAACACTTAAAAACACCATTTTGAGTTTTATATGGTGTTTTTAAGTTAGTGTAATCTGACACGAAGTCTTCTGTTGCTCCTACTCTGTTACATCTGGAGTCTAGCATTGCGTGGGTATTGTGTCCATGGAGGATGTCCAGTCTCTTATACGCAGAAATGTGGAGTCGTACATGAGGTCTGATGTTTCTTCTCCTGTTGACTCGGAGGCTGAGCTTGTGAGGAATCAAGGGCAGACTGGGGAGAATTTGGACTCTTATTTTTCCTACTCCTTCCTTTGCTCAGACAGATAATAACGAACCTCAGATGGATATCCCTCCTCCTGCACTGTTTTTGTAACTAATATATCAAGTTTATGTCTTGAACATTTCTCTTTTGGCTTATGACTCTTGTCCTTCTTTGTTGGAGGAAAGCCATTGAGCTGAATACCTAATCTTTCCACCTTTGTCAGACATTGCTGTGCATGCTTGGAGATTTTGTGATCAATTGCAAAAGGATTTTGCCATGCCTTATCCTCCCCATTTATCGGATCATCATGCCTTAGCTTTCCGTTACTTGGAGGACCCATATTTAAATTCTCAGAAGTTAGATCTTCTTCTTCCTATTTGAGGTTCTAGTCCTGATGCCACTATTCGTCGTAATCAAACTTAATTTCCAGGATTTGTCTTTTATTTGAAGCTGCAAGAGCTGAGTTTTTTTTTATCAAAATGGAGAAGTATGTTCTTTCTCCTATACAGTACCGCGTTCCTTTAGGGATATTTTTCACTTTACATCTCAGCCAGCCCCAACCTTCTCCTCTAAGCTTCCAGGCTATGGAATGGGATATTGTTCTCATACAGTTTTCTTCTTCTCCACTAACACATGTGGTTCTATCTCTTTTGAGGATGTGAGCTTCTTTGGAATCGCTTGTTTCTCTGGGTCTTGCCCACATGCATTCCTTTCAGTGGTTGTTAAATGTCCAATGGAACATTTGCATGGATGCACTGGATTATCTGGTGACTCTGTCAGATCCCAGCCCTATCTTGGCTGGTGGCTGAAGAGAGACAACACAACTGTAGGTATCCCTCTCCCGCCCTGATGTCCAGGGATGGGGACCTTTTGTATGGGATACAGAATTCATGGGCCTCTGGACAGATGAGGAATCTTCTCTCCATATCAATCTTTTAGAGCTTCTAGCAGTTTAATGAGCTATGTCTTTAGCTGTCAAATTGTTGAGAGGGAAGTGGTGATGCTTCACTTGGACAATTCCACTGTGGTCTCCTACATTTCCAAGCAAGGGGGCACTCACTGCAGATCTCTTTGTTTTCAGATATTGGATCTTCTCTTTTGGGCCCACAACCGTGAGATTGTTCTACTCGCTTTTCATTTTCTAGATGTTATGAATTTAGTGAGCGGTCAGTTATTTTGTCTCAACAGAGTTCTTCTCAAAGATTGGATGCTTCATCCACAAACCTTTTGTTGGATCTGCTTTCCCCACTCATTGGAATGTCTAGCTCCCATCCTTCTGGTCTCCTGTCACTCACCCTCTGGCTTTGGGTATAGATTGTCTAAACCAACATTGGACTGGTCTTCATCTTTATGTTTTTCTCCAAATCGTCTGTTATCCAATGTTCTTGCACTGATTTGCACCTCATCATGTCGAGTTCTTCTGGTGGCACCATATTGGCTGGGTCAGCGTTGATTTCCACTCTTCAATATCTTCAAGAGTACCAACCTCTTCCGTTTCCTCTCTGGCCATTCCTCTTAATTCAGCCTTGGTCAGACATTCTTCATCCAGCGACCACCGTGGCTTCATGTCTGGTTTTTATGCATTCCATTGCATGACTTCAGGGATTGATCTCTTGGGTGGAATCTTTATTAATGTGGTCCATTCGGCATTCTTCTTGGATGTTTATCAATGGAAATGGTTTACTTATGATCAGTGGTCTCTGAGACAGGCTTTTAATTCTTCTTGTTCCACTATGCCGTATGTTTCTTGATTTCTGACATGGTTATTCGACAAAGGTTTGGTGCCTTTGTCTGTTTCTCTGTATAAGGCAGCTTTGTCAGCTACTTTTTGCTTTTCCAGAAGATGTAAAGTTTTTGAGCCCCTAGTTTTGTCCTTGCTTCTGAAATCTTTTTGTGTTATCCATCTTCGATGTCCTTTTCAGGTTCCTAATTGGGACATGTCAGTGGTTCTCTATGCCTTATCTCAACCACCCTTTGAATCTTTGGCATCATGTTCCCTATATCACCTTTTGCTTAAGACTTATTTTCTTTTTTCGGCTAGTGGATGTTGAGGTTCGGATGTGTTTGTGATTCATGTTCTCAGGACTCTTTACCATTTCACTTATGTTCTGTTGTATCCCATTAGGTCCTTTCTCCCCAAAACTTCAGTGGGTAGAGGTGAGGATAAGGCTTTCTCTCTTATTCATCTTCCCTTCATTTTTCATTTTTATGAATGCTCAGGTTTGGATCATCTTTTATGCCTAATTTGGGCTCTTCAATGTTATATTGCATGCACTGAAGGTTTTCAGGGTTGACATCACCGTTTGTTTATCCATTGGGATTCCAAGGTGTCATGTGACTTATGGTGTGTCACTTTAACAGGTTGGGTTTGTCAATTTTGTGTATTGCTTACTTTGGGCTCTCATTGGAGGAACAGAGACTTCTTTGGGTCTCATTTCATCAAATTTGCCATATCTCAATGTTCCTGGTGGCTTGGTTATGTTGCCTGCTGGAGGAGATTGTACAGGGTGGTGTTTGTACCATGCCTAATACTTTTATATCATTATTTACAATATTTGGTGGTTGCTTCCTCAAAAGGTTTTTGGTTATTCCCTGTGACTGTTCTCCATGCTCTGGCTACTTTGTAAGAGAGGTGAGTGACTTCATTTCTTTTGTGTGTATTTATATTCTTTTTTCAGGGACCCTCTCATCATTTTCATTTAGATCCCACTCTGAGGTGGGTGTTCCCTGGTCAGTTATGTCTATTTCCAAATCCACACTAGCTACCAATCGACTGATTTAGAAAAAAACAACAAAAAAAAACACTTTTTTTTCCAGGTAGCAATGACCTCTGTTGAGATGGAGTGTTCCATAAGTCCATCTTATGTGCTTTCTAGGTGTTAAACAATTATAAAACTAAGAACAATACACTACTGAACCACCACTCATGGACTGTCATGGGTAAAGCTTAAGGGAATTCTGCCCATCCCTTCTGATCCCTGGATTGAATAAACTGGGTTGGTTTGCTTTTCAAAATAGGAATGTTATTCACCTATTGTACTGTCTTCAGAGTATCATTCCTCGGGACTCCTCAATGCAAGTATCCCTCCCCCATTTCTCCTCCTTGGGCATGGTAGTCATTACCACTTCCAGTATCCAGTTGCTGGAGTGGTAGACAGAGGTCTTCCTCCTGAGTGATGCAGGAACTCGTTATTTCACTCAAGGAGGAAAGGGCAAAGCTGGGTGCCTTTCTTTCAATAACTCTGGATGGTTTTTCCAGATGTATGGTAGGAACAGGACCAGCTTATGTGAAAGTCTTCTTATAATTCTGGTTCAGAAATGACTTTTTGCTATCTGGTTGCATTGTGAGTGGCCCTTCTTTTTGGTCATTATCTTCATTTCAATGATCATGGAAGAGGGTCCTTGACTCTCTGTAGTTCTAAATGTGGAGCATCAATTTCTGTACTGTTGGTTGAACTTAATTTGTTCCACATCCTTCTTGTAATTATGGGGGCAGGAGGTGTTGCCTTGCCTCTCAGGTTGGGGAGTTAGGATTGCATAATCCCAGGAAAGAGAATCTCAATTTCTTCAGGTTGAGTGAGACGCGATAGGTCCCATAATTCCAAGTTCAGTTTGTTGTATTTTGTGCTTCTTCAGGTTGGGAGAAGGGTTTGCCCACTTTTGTGTTGCTTGCCTTCTCTTCATAATTCCGGTGGCTCAGCATGGAACATTCTGTAACTTTCAGGTTGGGTTCCAATAATACCACATTAATAAACAAGACCAAATACAAAGCAGTTCTCCTGCCCTAGATACTATGCCTTGGATCTATATTTGGGCCCACAGTCCCATAATTCCCATGAGGAGACGTGGGATGTCTACCTAGTTTGGGCCTGGATGAATTCACGTTCTTCTGAAGATGTTACGATTTTGCCTCTGTGGCCAATTGTCCTTTACCATCCAGGAATTAGATGTCAGTGTGGAATTCTTGTTATAGTGTGAGAGGATGTGTGTTTCGGAAGTTAACATTTTCCTATATCAAAAATGTATTTTCAATAATACTTTGTTTCGAGTATGCTAATTTGGACCGTCTTGAAAAGTGAATAGGAAGTAATAACTGGGAGCTTATATACGGATCTGGGATATGGGTGCATTGATGTTGGTGGAGAGAATCACAAGATTTAACTTGCTATGGGCAATATAGTGGGTTATAAAAGCTGGAGCAAGTAAGGTAAGATTCATACCAATGCTTGGACGGGGAAAGAAGAGGATAAAGCTAAAGTGTGAGAAGAGGTAAGTATTATCAGAAATACATTTTCAATATAGGAAAATGTGAACTTTGATTTTTGTTTTTATATAAATTAGATTAATATGGAATTAGTATGTAAAACTGCAAGTATGTCTTCTAAATTCTTGTAATTACATCATTTTTATTTGAAACAGCGGATCCACCATTCTAACCATGTTTGCCATCAAGAGAGGTTTTGTGGCAACAGTAATAACTTATGGCTTAGTTCCAGGCATCGGTATGGGTCTAGCTTTTGCTCCCTCTCTAATGACAGGAATGAAGGTAAGGTAACTATAAGCTACTAATGTAATGGTTGTTTTAACATTCTAGTACAAGGGTGTGGAAACTGGGGCATATCCTGGTTTGATGTTTAGGGGGTTCTGTGTACTTGTTGGTTTAACACAGTAATAACAACTAAGTATGTAGCTTCTGTCATACAGCTTTGTTAAATGTCTTTCAGCAGCATCACTATGAAAAGTGTTCCAATATCCATGATGCTATCTCTTTAACATTACAATTGTCTACAAATAAGATATTACTCTACGGAGGTTACTAGTGTGTATATACATGTTTTTTGAAACAAAGTATTTATAGTTAAAGTTTAATTACACAAAATTTCTTAATAATTTATTAAATTTACTTTACCATATTTTTTTAGTTTTCAGTTGATTTTATTGTTTTCTCTGCAGCATTCCAAATAAATGTGAAATAATCTCCTGTATTTTAACTGACATTTCATATTGGTTTTTAATTAAATTTTGATTAAAATGCTGAAAATAACAACATGTTGTTGTGGCATCATTTTACTCTACTTTGAATAAAAAGAAAGGGGAAATGTCCATAATGCTAGGAAGATATGAAATTTCACATAATTTGTGGGTTCTATTTGGGAACTCGGGACTGGTTTGTACTTTTAAGGAAGCTAGTAGTGAAAATGTGCAATTTGTATGTAGAGTTTGTAGGCTGGAGGAGAAGTTTGAGGCTATCATAATTAAAGTAGATGCAATAGATAAAAAAAAAGTATAGACTGTGGGAAATGGCAGAAGGATTTCAAGAGGAGCTTAAACTTTTACATGCAAAGAATACATTAGCTAACAATGACTTTCAGGAGATTAGAAAAACTATTAAGGCTAAAAGAAGAGGATTTAATTACCATGAACCTGTTCTATTGAGCAACAGATTTCAGCCCTTGGCTTGTGCAGATGAAGAACTATTGGAGGGAAAGAAAACAAAGAGAACAAAAAAGGATATAGATAATAAACTTGAGGTTATAGCTATAAGTGATTCTTTTGCAAGGCATGTGGATAGGATATTCTGTGGGGTAAATAGGGAGAAAAGAATCAGATTATGCTACCCAGGGGCATAGGTGGAGAATATAACTGACAGAGCAGGAGATATAATAAAGGGGGTCCAGCAGAGATTTAGTTTTTGTGGTACATGTAGGGGCTAATGGTGAAGGGAAAGGTAGGTCAGAGGAGCTAGTTAATAAGTACAAGGGGTTGATAGAGGCATTTAAAAAAAAGGCCATAACTCAATTCTGTCAGGGATACTGCCCAGAATTAACTGTGGGGATGAAGTTATTAGTAGGTCACTAGGGCAAAATTCTAGGCTTAGGTTAGTATATAAGGATGAGCTGATTGGCTGGTTGGACTTGTGGGATCAGTTCAGTGGAAGGAGGAAGCTTTATGGAATAGATGGTTTACATTTAAATAGAGTATGGGCTGGCTTGTTTGCAAGGGTTACTAACTCAGTTGTAGGGAAAGTTTTAAACTAGGACTAGACAGTGGTGAGGGACAGGAAAAACTAAATGCAAAAAAAAAGTAAGAAGTGGAGAAAAGTTTAGCAGAGGAAATGAGTATAGAAGTAGTTATAATGATAGGTTTAATTGTTACTATTGTAATGTTAGGAGTATAAGAAGTAAAACAGATGACTTTAGAGCACTGGTAGAAATGGAGGATTTTGATGTAATGAGAATAACTGAAACATCATTAAATGTAGATGTTTGTGATGACAGAAATTTCTTTTGATTACAGAGTTACAGTATTAAAGAGGTGATGAGAAGCGGGTTTATATGTAAAATGTGTGTTCCATCCTGTTGAATTTGAAGATATCAAAGAGATTGAATCCATTTGGGTTTCTATTAGTGGATATAAAGGGAAAAGGCTTTTAGTAGGAATTTGTTACAGACCACCAAATGATACTGATGAAATTAGTAAGAAACTTTACAATGAGATTAAGATTTCAGTTGTTAATGAAGTAATAATTATGGGTGATTTTAATTTTTGGCATATAGATTGGGAAATTCTAGAGTCCAACTATGAGGAAGAAAGGTTTTTGGAAACTGTTCAGGATGGCTTTCTTCACCAGTTAGTCAAGGAACCTACTAGAAATAATGTTATTTTAAATTTATTGTTAACTTCAAATAGAGAAATAATTGAGTGGTGGAAATTGGGGAACATCTGGGAGCAAGTGATCATTGCTCTATTAGGTTCAATGTTTTGCTGGATGTGAAGATAAGAAATAATTATATTTAGGTTACAAATTTTGAAGGGATGTGACAAAAATTATCTGTTGTAAATTGATCAGCTAAGTTATTTGGAGACACTGAGCAGATGTGGAAAATGTTTAAATATTCAAGGTAAACATATTCCTTATAGAAAGAAAATGGTAACTGCAAACAAAAAACTAGGGTTGTTCACAAAAAAGTTTAAGAAATAAAATTAAAGAATAGCATCATAAACTTAAGAAATTTAAATTGACTGGAGATTATAGAAGATGAAGAAATTGGTGAAACAGGAAATTAGGACATCAAAAATGATAAATGATGAATGTTTGGGTGAAAATGTAAAAACTAACAGTGAAGGTTACTTTAAGTACATTAAGGGTAAAAAAAATGTTAGGATTGGGGTAGGACCCTTGAGGGATGATAAAGGAAG